TTACAAAATACATTTTGGGGCATGTATTCTGTAATCTGTAGTGGAATACATTTTAAAAGTAACCTTCCCAACACTGCTTGTGTCAGACTGACCGAGTTTTTATGTCAGGGATTGTCACAGGTGAGGAAAACAGGCTCTGTGCCTAGAACTGGAGAAGAAACCAGTTTTCACTGGGAGAGCACCAGCTATGCAGAGTGCATTGACTCGCCTGGATCAGACAATAGCGAGTTTTACTAATATACTGAGACTTCTGAGAAAGAACAAACAACCTACTGCTTACATCTACTACTAAGAAGTTCTTCACACTACACATTTCACTAACACAATCGCTGCTCACCAACACTCCTTCTTTCCAGAGTTAAATCCCTGTGATGTTCTTGTTTCAAAATAATACTCAAATTTTAAAGGTTATAATTTGGACAGAAGAAACTTCGAAGGGCGAATTCCAACGAGTGGGAGCACTGGGACTCAGAGGTGTACAAACTCTGCGGAAGCGGCATTGAAGAGGATAACAGCTACTTAACTCGGGTACAGTTTATGTTCACAACTCGTCAACCCAAACATCCCAAAAAACATGTGCATTTAAAAATAAGCAAAGAATAAGCATTTATATTTATTTATTTTTCCTAGCACAAAGCTGTGTGGCAACCACATCATGACTTGTACGAAGATGAAATGTCTACTTTTTGTTTTGCACGTCGTGTAAAGTCAAGTTTTACAAGTCTATTAGTGGTTTATCTTTGCATTACACTCTTAAAGTAAAGGACACTCTTCACCGGCTGATCACAATGAGAGTCGTACTGCCTGAAGCGAGGCCTGTAATTCTGAGGGAGCTACAAATGAAGCGGCAGGGTTTCAGTGCTGAAGCCGATCTAGCAATCATCAATGTAGTGTAAGAATGTTAATATTCTTATTTTAAAACTTATCTAAAAATAATTTCAAATGATTTGTTCAATAATATAAAACTGAGAATAGCTACAGTGCTTTAGCTTATTACCTGTGTAGCTGTGGTCCTCGCTGAAGGGTTAAAGGTAAAGAGACCTTGTAGCAGCTCAAGTAAATCGTCTCCAGCTGCACTAAATATATGTTCCAGCGGTGTGCCGGGGAATATTTTGAAGGACACGTAGTCTGGTAGACTACTCAAGCCCTAAAGAGAGATATAACAATAGAATGTAAGCAAGAATCCCCACATCTCATCAACATTGGGCCAAACTGTAGAAAAAACAAAAACAAAAAACAACAACAACAACAACAACAACAACAACAAAAAACCCCAAACAAACTTACAGGCCATGTTTCTTCCGTGGGTGTTCCCAGAGCCTCAAAGATCTTAGTAAGCTGGTCGAGATCCGAGTCTCCAGCAAGGAACGGAACCTACAGCAAACGGGAGTGTAGAGAGACATTAGCATGAATATGAAAATAGCTGCGTCCCCTGAGACTGCTCAGGGGACGCAGCCTGCTCATATCTTTGAAGTGAGGTTTATTTACCCGAAGCAGCAACTCTGCCAAAATGCATCCCACTGCCCACATGTCAACACCCACACCGTACATCCTGGCACCAAACAGGAGCTCAGGTGATCGGTACCACCTGGGAAAGACATGAATAAACAATAAATAGAGACATATTTTACAGACCTTGCAACCTGGACTTCTTAGTAGAATTCAGTCACATTTAACCAGTCCTAGTTTGGTTAAATGTTTGATTAACTCATGGAAAACATTAAAAAAAAATATTGCTAATGAGACTAACCCTGGAGAAATTCTGTATTTTTAATGAGGTAACATGGAGACTAATCTGACCTGGTAACAACTTGATGTGTGTAGACTCTGCTAGGGCTGCCAAAAGACTTGGCCAAACCAAAATCAGCCAACTTCAACACCCCACTGCCATCTAACAACAGATTATTGGGCTTCAGATCCTGCACAAAAAAGAAAGAAATTAAGAGGAAAAGGCCCAAAACATAAATTACAAATTAGACATGAGCATATTTATGTGTAAATGCTGCACACACGTTTTCTTACCCTGTGTAGGACCCAGTGCTGGTGCATATACTCTAATCCCTGCAGAGTCATGAGGATGTAGGCTTTGATGTTGGCTGGAGTTAAGACTAAACTAGTGTCTTTGATGATAACCTTAAAAACAACAAAACAAAGACCAAGAGTCATACGTACAGCCAGACTTCTCATAATTAATAACATCCATGCATAAATTCATGGCTTTTCATAGCTCTAGGCCACACACACACACACACAAAATTAAAATACACTTTTTCTGAGCGGACGAGACAATCAAAAACATCTGGAAAATATCCATATAAAGAAATCATCCAAGATAGAGCAGTTCAGCCTTGATAACAAGAACCATCATCACCTTTGAATGCAGGAGTCTAACTAAAGCTAACCTCGCAGTCCAAAAATATATAGGCTTTTATAATATAGGCTTTTAGCACCGGTAATAAGATCAGCATCACATTTCACCCTCATGTGCATCCTGTTTTTCTGCTGCCTGTAATGGCATCACTTCACTGAGCAGCCAAAAGCAGAGTGATATTGATTATTTTTAAGTGCGTTTATCTTATTTTGCATCATTCGATTAAGCTCTAAAGCATTGCTGGTGAGCGCCTATTTGGAGCCTTTTTATGCTTAGATAATCCAAATAAAAGCCAGAGTAACACCCAGCTTAGCACTGGTGACACTTTGTTTGACCTCTTGCTCATGCTTTCTTGGATACTCGACTTTAATCTGACCTTACACTACGAGTCTCTAAGTTAGATTTTTGGAGCCGTGTAACGCATTTTTTATGTTTTTACTTAAACATATTTACACTGATGAACAGTACAGCACAGCACATTGTTATACTGCCAGTTGATTTAACTGTATTTTATAATGTCCCATAATGCTTTTATTTTT